AGCTGCAAGTCGTATGTTGACTGCAGAGCGTAATCAAACATCCCAAGAAGGGCAGGAACAACTTGATAATTAGCATGATTTTGTAGTAGTACTTAGCCCGGTGGACATGGTGGACGGAAGCATTGCCAGGCACAACCTTTTGGGAGGGCAATCTGAGCAGAATGCGAGTTCAGAAAGTATCCAAGCACGAACCTAAGGTCCAATTCTGAAAGACTCCCAACGTTCTGACTTGAAGCTCTGCAGATCCTCCCCATACCAGAAGTCGTCACCAATGACCTCGTCCCAATGACCTCTTCCGCCACGTCCGAGCCTCTCGAGCCATTCGAAGCCTCAGGAGCTTGACGAGAAGAAGCTGTTGGAAGAGAACTTCGGCCTCAGGCAGAAACGAGATGAGCAAGCACTCATTTCTCAGGTGTTGCCACTGGAAGGGGAAGCAGGGGAGGAAGAGGAGAGTGAGGAGGATCGTGCAAGCGGGTGATTTCTCCGAAAGAATAGGTTGGAGGCCATCGCTATTAGGTTGGAGGCCATTGCTCTTAGTAACTCAGAAGAATTTTTTGGTTCAAAATCAATTTATGTTTTGTGGTCACGCTGAGTGTGTCACATGCCATTTGGCCCGTGAAGGACAAGCCCACATCGCGGCAGATGAAAGAGCTCATCGCGCCATTACCTCCCACCAAGTCTTTTCAGGGAACCTGGTGGCGACCGGTAGAGCTTTTGGGTATGCAGTTTTTTTGCTTTGCAACTTGGCCAGCAAATGCTTGAAGGTGAAAGAGGAAGGAGCTGTGTCCACAGCTTTTGGGTTTCTTCCATGGACAAAACCTTGGCTTCAAGGTGTTTTTCCACCAAGAGCGAACCCTCGTGTTGATGAAAGTTCGCCTACCTCTCCAGCTGGTGGTCCTTGATGCGTTACGCCGTGTCCTTCGATTGAAACCGCGTTTGAAACTGCATTGAACACTTGAAACGATGGAACGGCTGATAACGGCTGGCATTTCTGTTAACAGATTATATATGGAGCAACAGGAACCCATAAAATAGTTGTTCTTTTAGGAAACCGTTGCGTTTCAGCTCATTTGGCTGAACATATTAAATATTGTTTCTTTCGAACCCCGCAGGTTGTTCGAAAGATTTCAGAACCCGTAGAAATCAAGCCCGTCGTAGCCCGTACAAATCCGCAAACAGTGGCTAAACCATCAAATTTGTCCAAGCAGCTTGGACCGGCAGAACTGGTCCAACCATCAAATGTCTTCCCGGCAAGAGACCCCGAACAGTGTGTGAGGTCTAGAGGTGTAGCAGCAGAAAGTCTAGAGATCTAGATGCGTTGGGGAAAAAAGACCTTCTCAACTCTTCTCAACAGTCCCGTTTGGGATCCAGTCGTGCATACCGACCCCGGTTCGGTGCCACTGGACTCACCTATAGTGTCGAACATCAACGTACCTGAGAAGGCACTTGGATTCCTATATGGGAGTATATACTATCCTGAAGCGCGACTTTGTTTGTTCCAGGTTCTGCTCAAATCTCAGCCGAAAGCCGGTATCTCACAGGTTTTGATCTCCACCTTCCAAGGAATGCAAGCTTCCCTCACAAACGTGGTGGGCCGTGCTACCGGATCGCTCCATCTTGCGGCCAGCTTTCTACCGCGCCCATCCCACTGCGACGCGCCACGACGTGCGGCTGCGCCTCCAGCACCTCCAAGAAGCAGGCGCCGCGGACAACGAGCGGGACGAGATGGGCATCTTGCCTCGTTGGACGACCGAACGGCTCGGCATTGTTTACCTTGGTCCGTCCGAGCCGGGACCGTCGCCGGCCGAATCGGGAGCCCACCGTTCGGGCCACCGGTTCAGTGCCCAAGGTTCGGTTACAGCGCGCAGTGGCGCGCGTCGTAGAGGTCAGAAGCCTGTGGTTTTGGGTGAACTGGACTCCGAATGGGACCAGTGCAAGTGACCAGTGCAAGTGGCAATGCTGAGTGGGCAGGTTCAACTAAGGATGGGCGGAAGTGTTCCGGTTTGGTCTTGATCTTCATGCAAAGATGCGTTCATGGCCGCAAGGCCTGAATCATGCAGTGCTGGACCAGTGGTCCAAGAGTTTTGCAGAGTTCTGTTGGGGAACCCGACCCAACCCCTTCACACTGGTGTCATCTGGTGTCGTGTTGGTTATTTTTGAAGCTGCTTTTCGACCCAGAACAACACCAGCTTGTCATGTTGCAGGGCCACAGTGTGCCCAGATTTGCGCTGGACCCCCATCCATGTATGGAACATATAGTGATTTACATTAGAATCATTCGAGTCATTAGAATTGTGCTTAAGATGTATTACTCATTCGAGTCAGTCATAAACGTGATTTACACTGAGACTCATTGTATATTCCATGCATACCTTCCATGCCTTTGTTTTGGGGGAGGCTAGTTCCTCAGTGACTGTCCCCCACGGTCTTAACGGGGATGGATCGGTTTCCCGCTGTTCATCCGTGTTCCAGGCTGTCCGGTGCCGTGGGTCTTGGCAAAGGAACTGGAGGACCAGAAGCTACCACACTATTCAAAGAGAGACCAGAAGCTTCGTGCCGTAAAGCTGCAAAAGATGCTCGGTCGCAGAAGCATGCGGTTCGGATGCGGCAGGTGGGGGCGGTGACCCTGACCCGACCCGACCCGCTGTTCCCGGGCCAGTGGGCCGGTGCACCGGTGGGCCCAAGAGGTTCTTCATTCCCAAATTCAGGGAGTCTACGTGAAGAACCTCATTTAGATAAGAGAAGTGGTCAGAACCAAAGAGAAGTTGAATAACCAAAGAGAAGTCGTCAGAACCACAAAGCATTTGGCTCCGTCTTCATGTTCTTCAAGTTTAGGTCCGTCTACAGCCGATCTCTCCACTCCCGAGACCTCTCGAGACCTCTCGAGCCTCGCAGACTGGGAGCTTCGGTACCGACGTCCACCGGGGGTTTGGACGGACTGGATGGGGGGGGGGGCGGTGGTTGACGCCCACCTGGAGCCTCACCTTGGAAAATGGCTACAGTCGCACCTGTTTTTATAGGGCCATGTGGGCCATGTGCCATTTTCTCGATTCTAGAGTACTTGAAGTCGGGTCCCAAGTAGACGGGGTGTGTGTTCTTTTTGGTTTATAAGACAGTTTTTCTCCGGGTTTGGGGTGAACAGCACATGGACAACCACATGCACCCACAGGATCTTGCGAGATCTGGAATTGAAGTCCCCAATAGACTCGGTTTCGGGTCAGGCTCATCGAGGAGCTGGAGGTCGACAGAGTCTGCCTCGATGACCTCGACGCGTCCTCGTCCTCGCGCATGTGGCCTGAGATGGAGAGCTTCTGTGGGCAGAGGCCTGAGGCCGAAAAGAACTTCTACTGCAGATCTTACAGCGACAGCGGCTGGCCTCGATTTCTGCCTCTTCAGCAGCACCCCTTTCTGCGTCGCTTGGGAGCAGAGGTCCTTTGGGAGCGTGAGCGGAAGGGCGGCATAGAGACCGGTGCCTTGGCGGATCTGATGAGAGAGAGAGAGAGAGTACATTTACAGTGGATTGAGAGTAGATGGCAGAACCCCCAATGTCGGTGGTTTATAGGGACCCCCAGCTGTCGAACGGACATTTTGGGGTCTGTGTATACTCTCAACCCACTATAAAATGTCCAGTTTCCAGGACCTTCCAAGTCCGGTGGCTTTTGGGCTCTAAGAGGCTATTTAGTCCGACACCTCTTGGTGTCGGTCCTGGAAGACATTATGATTTAGTATATGGTTTCCATGATTTCATGTCATTTCCTAGTTCAGGCTTGTTACTTGGTTATGCATTTGGCTGGATTTCTGCATGTCCTGGCTGCTGCCAGCTGATGTCCTTGCTACATCCGGCTGGAATCGCTGTTCGGGCCACGAGGATCCGTTGGTTTCGTGCGTGTTCCGCCAGGCTGGTTTCAAACGCGGGGCGCCAGCTGCTATCCGTGCTTGGTGGCAGGTCGCCACTGCCGTGGACGCAAGCTCCATCCCAGATTGGGATTGGCCATGGCGTGCACGTCTTGTCGACGCCTGGAGTGGTTGGGAATGGTGAGGAATGGCCACGTTCGAAGAATGCTTTGGTTCAATTGCTTCGCCAGCTTTTGGATGCTTTTGGTGATTCCGAATCACGTATAGACCGTCATGTTCCATGTTTCAATGATATGGATTCCTTGTAAACAATCATGGAATCACATTTAGTATTGACACAGTTGTGTGATGTATAAACCCTGGGAGTTGAGAACGACCATAAAAGGAATGGTTTGACTAGGTCCTGTGACCTGAGTTCAGGAATGCAACCTTCAGTCGGTCCAAATATCGTCGAACTGGACTGAAGAGTCGGGGGTTATCTCGCCTCCGTCGTCCCCGTTGTGCTCAGGCCTGGCCGGGCTCTCCGTGCGCCAGTGTGCAGTGGCCCTGTGTTTGGAGGGAACGCCTTCAGCGACCTTGACCGATCATTGGGCCAGAGTTCAGCCCGACCTCAGCACTTGCCACTTGGCGGGTCACGGCGCAGGCGTCAGGCCTCATGGGGCGTCACGGAAGAAGCGTGGGGCGGACCATGAGGTTGGGGCAAGTTCGTGATGGCAGCGTGGGGACATCCTCGGAGGCCATGGCTTACTTTCACCATATCTTTCTTTCACCAGCCCAGCTTCTTCAAAGTGACCTTTTGAAGCTTCCTATTCGTGACCCTTAGGCTAACTTAGGAGGCTTAAGTGACCGAACCAACCAGGTGATCAAGTTCGGTCACGAACTGAAGCACCAGGGCATGCTTTTTTGCCCTGGTGCCTTTGCTGATCTCCTTCAAGATGGCATTTGACTATTATCTTAAATCATCATGAGTATCCTTTTCGTTGATGTAGTGAGGTTCCCATGTTCAAGCTTTCCGTGGCCAGGGCATGCAAAAAAGAGGCGCGGGACAGAATGGAATCGAAGCGAATGCCCAAAATTGACCCACCTGAATATTGTTGATATCCCGGACACTCCATGTATGCCATATGTGCCTACATTGACCCCCAAAACCACCCCAATGTAGGTAAATATACCATACATGGAGTGTTTGGGTATGTTGATGTTGATATATGACTCTTAGTGCTGCTAAGAGAGGTGCTGGAGACGAAGATCGCCCTCGATGTGTTCACGCCTCCCAGAGAAGCGATGTGATTCTGACGAACCGATGTGCATCAGTTCTAATGTTCATCCTTCAAGAGCATGAATCTTCTTGATCGAACCGTAGATCGAACCAATCTGAGCCAGTCAGACCAGCCGTCTTGACCTGTGAAGAGGTGGTTTTCCATCACTCCACGTACACTCCAAGTTACACTATATATACTGGGATAAAGTCGAGTTCCGCAACTGCGCAGGATTCCGCAACTAGAATTCCGCAACTGTTTCAGAACCCCAGTTTCAGAATCCTGGTTTCAGAATCCAAGTTTCAGAACACTAGTTTCAGAACCCCAGTTTCAGAACCCTAGTTTCAGAATCCGACCGATTAGTTTCGGAATCCGGCTCTAACCATATATACTGTATAGCATGGAAGTGGAAACCCATGAGCATTCGGAACGTGCTCTTATTCATGGCCCATGTTCCACGCACCCAGGCTAATCGTTCTTGCTGAGGCCACGTGTGCCGCTGCCCGCCCGAACGACCGCGGCGGACACCGCAGGGCGCTGTGCCGTGCACGGTGTGCGTCGGCTGCCATGCCTGGCTGTGTCACAAGACCAGCTGCCATGCTGACGCACAAGTGCGCCAGGAGCGGAGATTCGACCGGGGGAGGGGCTGAGGAGTAGGCGCAGCGCAGCGAGAAGTTCGCCCCCGCGAAGAAAGGGCGGTGTTCAGACACTGAGGAGTCACCGAGGTTGAAGGCTTGAAGACTTTGCAATGTCCGAGGTGGAGTGAAATTCGACGATCAATCGCAGACACTGCCATGTAATTATGCCATATGCGTGTCCCAAAACCACCCTAATGTAGGCATATGAATGGCACACATGGAGTGTCTGGGAATGAAGAAGGCGGGGTTCCACTGCCATCAACTGTAGAGCGTGTAAAGGTGTTGCTGGTGCTCTTCACGCCATGTTTGTTGCCGTTCTTTGGAGGCAGGATCAGCACATGCAAAAAGAATACATGACTCAGACTCCAGTATGTCAGGACCTGCCTTATTGGTTATGCTGTCACTGCCTTGGCGTTCCTCTCGCATGTTTCTGTCTGCAGACACATGCCGACGCTGCCCAACTCTTGAACAACGTCCACATGAGCCCTGGTCTCGAGCAGAACGGGGGGAGAGGGATGGCGAGAAACGACATCCGAGCCAAAACCAAACCCCACCAACCCCCAAAAGACGCGGGTTGGCGTTCTTCTTTGAAACCCAATTCCCTTTAAAAACACACACACACATGAAGCAGAGCCCCGAAAACCAGGTACATGTGTCTTCTTCTTCTCACCGGTGGACCCCGTGGCGACGACCCACGGGAGCGACGACCCAAGTCCGTCGGTGCGAGCGTTAAGTCCGAAGAACGCGACAAGTCGTGGATCTGGTGACCTGGTGGGTCACAACTCGCGACCGAAGTAATGCCATGGATCACTGACTGAACAACTGAACCACCACCAAACCCTTCCTTCTTCCTCACTTCGACTTCTCTCGTGACGCGAGAGTTGAAGACTGAACGACTGATCAGGCTGATGCCGAAAGCCTCGAAAGCCTTGATCACCCAGTACCCGCAGCCGAAGACCGCCGCCCAGTTGCACCGGACGAGGGCCTTGAGACGCTGGTGGGGCCGCACGAGATTGCTGTCTCCAAGGCCATCCCGAGCCGCTTGGACTGGTTTAGCGGTTTAGCGGTTCCTTGGTTTAATAGCTACAAAGCCATAGTTTCAAGGTGAAAACGTGCAGATGATGTTCCCTTAAACCAATTCATTTATAGATCGATGCATTGGTGTTTTGTTGTTTAATGCACGGTTGGATTTGTTTTAGATGGCATGGTGAAGCTCAAGCGCCGGACACGAAATTGTGACCACGGAGGGCACTACTTCGGGCTCACTCCCGGCTTTCAAGATACGATAGGTAAAAAAAATACCGGTTTGAAAGCCACATACCACGAGGAAGCCTAGGTGATAAGGAAACAGGTATACCTAGTATGCAATCCGGTCCTATGGTCAATCCTTCGAACAACAGTCCAAAGAGTCTTTAAGCTCAAAGCTCCGGTTCCAAACTCCCTGCAAGTTCATCGTGATGAAACGCCGCAAACCAGAACTTGAACCTCCTTGTTCGATCGCAAAGCATTCTTAAGAAGCCCATGTCAGGCTTCCTTTTATGGTTGATATCCATCACGAGTCGTTCTTCAGTCATCTCCCATCACATCCAGACTGCAACGCCGCCGTAATATGCACGGCTTGGGGGTACTTGGCACACGCTAATAATGTTGCACAAGCGGGTCAACGGAAGAGTTCAGGGACTGCTTCCCGGTTCTCACGGCACTCCTCATACCTCAAACGCAAAGCCAGCAAGAAGAACTCAAAGAACTCCACAGCCGTCAGCATGGAGGGGAAATGGTCGGTTCGGTCAGACCGAACGGACGAGAGAACGACGCGACGCGACGACGTCGCGCGAGAAGTGCGACGACGTCGCGCGAAGAGAAGTGCGAACGGAGAAACCATCCGAATCTCGAGCCCCGCAAGCCACCCCTAAAAGCAACCTGGTGATCCAACCCCCCCCCGCAAAAAGAAGAAAGAAGACTCGACCTATATAACACCGGTGGAGGCACCCTGAAGTGAAGCACTGTGACACCTGAAAACCCACACCCAAAGAAAACCCACACCCAATTGAACCCAAAAAAATGGACAGACAGCAGACAGTATAGCAAAATACCCACAGCCGCGAACGCCGGCGGCCTTGTTCAAGGAAAGTGTCCTGCCGTCCTCGTCAGACCATGCCTCCACTGGACCAGGTCCTGACGACGTGTTAACGCACTGCGCACTCCAAAGGATGCCCAGATGCGCCATGGGACTGCCACTCAGTTGGGGTGGTGCCACCGGGGCGGCAGTCCGCAGTCCCGGTCGTGTTTGGGATGGATTCCGATCCTGTTCTTCTTCCCGAACGTTTGGCATCGCAAGGCGTCCTGGTTGGACTATGCTGGATTGCTTCGAAAGATGACCATTGTGGAGTTTGAGCGCTTCAAAGCTGCCGTGCAGCGGCTGCGAGCAGAAATCATGGGCCTCGACAGGAGACGTCAGCGGATCACGTGCATGAAGTGGCTGATGAAGGCCACATGCAATGCAATGCTCCCTTGTTTTAACATGTGTTTAATTGAAGTCAGCACATATAGCTGTACACTTGCATGTGTGGCCAATGTGATCCGCGTTTTGTACATCACTTTGAAGAAAGACCTCGAGGAGGTGGTTGATGCCTTGGACCCGCGATTCGGATTGCAGGTCCAAAGCTTTGCAGAGCCCTCTTTGATCTTCACCTTCCTGCTGCGGCTCCAGAATGAACATGACAAGGACCGACGATGTGACGAAAATGCTCGCGACGGCGGGAAAAAGACAGCCACACAGGCAGCACCCGTCGCCCAGGAAAACAATTTGTTTGAAACACCTGTCGCCATGTTGGGGGACATTGGTTTCTCTACCCGCAACATCCCTCAACCCGAGCCCCAAAGAAAGGTGGAGAAGGTTCAGTTGTACCCTAACAATCCTTGCGCTCTCCATGGCAGGGGTCGGACTTTGCATGGCAGGGGTCTGGGCCCTCAAAACCGGCCCGGAAAGGTTCGGTTGTATAACCCAACGCCGTTCTTTTCCAAACAACTCAGCCTCAGACCTCAGCAATCCGCTTTTCCACCGCAGGAGCGGCGGCTCATGGAGTGGGAACCCATCTACCGTGCCACGCGGCGCCGTTGGGTTCTGTCGCCGTTGGACGCGGAACTGGGCTTTTGGCAAATGCGGCACAGGAGGCGAAGCCGAATGCGAGCGAAGAGTGGAGATGAGATGATATGGTGTGACAGACATGTTTGACCTCTTCATGTACCAGGACACAAGGCCCGTTTACGGCCTAAGTCTATTGATATCCCCTTAAACCTCCAACCAGCCCGACAGGTCTTAGACTCTTCACCCCTCCCAGACTGAGAAAAACCTGAGGAGGCGCCCGGGGGCGGAGTGCGTCTCAAAGCCCTTTGGGGCCTAGTAGCAAGGACGCTACGAACGTATAGGGCATTTATAGTTGTCCTTGAAGTTTGGGTGAACACTTCTTTCCTCTGAAAAACCTGAGCCAGCCCGTTCGCACTTAACAGTCAGACACGGAGTTTTCTTCTCTTCCCACGTCAGCTGATGTCATCGCTTTCCCTTGCGCGCCGCTTGCGCGCATCCGCGCGCCGTGAAAGCAACTCGAAGGTTCGTTGCGGAGCTGGGGGAGAATGACTTTCCGCCGAGCCAGAGCTGTTTCGTCCAGCTCCGGGAGAGGATTCCCACCCAGCTGTGCCGTGCCGCATTTTTCCTCGCGCGCTTTTCTCTTTCTTTGTGGCGCGCGAGAGGAGCGGGAGAGGAGGGTAGTATACTGGGGGAGGGAGGAGACTCTGGTTTACCCACACGGGTGAGTTTGCCCAAGAGAGCCTGACGCCAGAAAAGTATCCGAATGCTTTTCTTCCACCGCACCGCAGCTGTTTCCATTTCACCCCTTCCTATCCACTTTCGTCTCCACAAAGGCCTCAAATTCGTGCTATGCCCGTTTGGTCGCCCAAGGAAATGGTGGAGAGTCCACCGGCAGCTCCAGCACCAAGCGCTGCGTGGCGCCCACGGCTCCGCTGCAACCCCGCACAAGCTCCGCCGCCTCCGCCGGCTCAAGCGGCGACGCCGCCGGGGCGAGCAGAGGGGACGAAGCCACGAGCCGGGTGTGGGGAAGGTGTTTTCCCTGTCGACCTGGTCGACCTTGACCAGGTTGCTCTTCTTTTGGAGCTATGGGCTATTTTCAGATTGGTTTGGAACTATAGGAACTTCCAAGATCAAGTCTCACTTTGCATGTTGACCTGTACCCCTGAACGGGTACAACGAATTCACTGCCAGATCTTTAAAACTATCAGACTATCATAACTCTGCCTAGCGCTTCCTGTCGGGGTGCCCTGTCTGGAGACCTGTAAGTAGTGTGGAGATGTCCAGCCAGGTGAGCCCGAACGGAAGCAGCTGGTGGGTCTTCCCTCCATTTTCCGGGAAGAGATAAGCGATTAACAGCAGCGACCATCGATGATGTACCGGTCGCTTTCAGCGCCGTCCGGTCCGACCTTATTTAGGTAGCCAATCGCTTTTGGAAAAAAGGAAGCAACGGTCAAAGACCAGGGCCTTCAAGGCCGACTGGTGCGTAGGGAATAAGGGAAGTTTTGCCCCCAGATTCTATTGGATCCAGCCACCCTCATTTTTCTGCTTTCGACGCACCAGTCAGAAGGGGTTCATGGACACCCTGAATCACCAGCGAGTTTGGGGCTATGGCTCTGTATATATAGACACCCCAAACGAGTCGGGTCCTGGACATCACATCGGATTGATTCGGGGCGTTTGCAACGGCGACCGACAACTTCTCGCCGCGACGACCGAGAGGTCACTGGGGGTAGCCGATGTCCTCCGGGGCGGCGACCGGGGGTAGTAGAGACCCCAGACCAAGGTCCACTTCTCCGTGGGCCAGCGCCCAAAAATCACTCGCGGCAAGTCGGCTTCGAGGAGAACAGGGGGATGTCTATCCATTTGTATAGGGTGAGATGGTCAGAGAGAGGGTGTACACTCAACGCCATGCAGCCATGGTCTTTTCGAAAGGCAGTTGAGAGTTCCTACAATCTTCATGCCTCGCAAGTGGATAGTGCCAGGAGCATCTTAGGAATGCAATAGCTTAGTGCCGAAGTTCTAGCAGCATGGCATAGCATGGCCAACTTGGCTTTTGCCATTTGCAGAGGCTGCCACTCTGTCCCAAGGAGAAAGGCACCATACAACGCTTCCAATTGGAAAGTGAAAGTGAAGAAGTGGACTCTCCCATTGACAGCAGCTGGTGAGCCCGGTCGTAGCGCTGCCCACAATGTGGTGAAACGCCGCATCTCAACACGTGTGTCGTGGATGCGAAAAAAGGCCGGCGAAGGAGCGAATCGTCAGTTCTGTGGTCCAAGTCTCACATGAACGGTTTTATCGTGAATCCGAACTCGAGGGGGGTCATGAAACAGGGGTAATGGTAATGAGGGGTAGCTATCAAGCTTTGGCTCGGTTGAATCGGAAAGACGGAGTCCCAAACATGTGAGGAGTGGCGGCAGAGTGCGGAAGTCATGCCAATCCAGTGCAGTGGCGCAAGAAATTGACCATACATGTCCTTGTAAAGCCTTGTTCTTCTACTGTAAAGTCCTTTTTACTTGCTGTGTTTTCTTTCTGTTTGTCTGTCTTTCTTTCTTTCTTTCTGTCTGTCTGTCTGTCTGTCTTTTCTGTCTGTCTTTTCTTTCTTTTTAGTGTTCTGTCTATAGTTTTGTTTCCTTTTCTTGTTGATCTCATATGTATCTCACTAACCTTATCACGAAAGCTAGCGAAGCTAGCTGGAGTTACTCTTGCGATA